ACACTACATACCCCAAAAAACTAACTTGCCGTTTGAATAGTGAGCACTTCTTCGAACTCAACTTGAGGTTGGCATTCTGGATCTTCATGAGCACGCGTTGCAGGTTTTGAAGGTGTTCCTCAAACGTACGGCCTACGATGATGATGTCATCCAAGTAGACCAGACAGGCATCTCCATTTAGCCCGGTAAGTACAAGCTCCATCAATCTTTCAAACGTTGCTGGAGCATTGCACAATCCAAACGGCATGACTTTAAATTGCCACAGACCCTTTCCTGTGGAGAATGCAGTTTTCTCCTTGTCCTTAGGGTCAATTTCAACCTGCCAGTAGCCACTTTTCAGGTCCAGCGTACTAAACCACTTTACGCCTGTGAGCATGTCCAGCGTGTCATCAATTCTATTCTTGTCCTTCTTTGTAACGTCGTTCAGGCGGCGGTAGTCAACACAAAACCGCATGCTGCCGTCCTTCTTCTTTACCAGCACCACAGGTGAACACCATGGACTAGATGAAGGTTCAATAACACCATCCTTCACCATTCCCTCAATCATGGTTTCCACTTCCTTTTCACGTGCTACAGGCAATCTTCTTGGCCGCTGACGAATAGGCAATTCTTCTCCTGTGTTTATTTTGTGTTGAACTAAGCCAGTCTTTCCTATATCAGCTTCGTTTGACGAGAAAACATTTGCGTACTTGAGTAACAACTTCTTCGCCTTGATCATTTCATTCGGGGAGAGAACGCTGCGACAGTCTTCTAAAAGTGTGGTCACTCTCGTTTGTCCATCCTTGCTGGGGGTCCCAGTCGATAGATATTCGCACCGACGCAACCAATCCATTTCCTCACTAGTACCAACCAATGTGCCTTTTTCTATAATCTGTTCCTGATCACAAAGGTTCAACACACGTACTCCTGAGATGTCGGTGGTTCTGACCAAGGTTCGAGCCACTTTCCATGGAAGGTCATTGTCTACCCTTTCCACGAGTACACAACGATGAGCTTGCCCAGGACTCCGAGGAAGACTAACCGGCACAATCGTTTCCGATCTCGGCGGAAGAACAATCTTCTTAAGGCTGTACACATTCCCTGGTAACGCCCCTTCCACGAAAAGTTCCTCTTGTCCACATTTCAAAACACCTTGCTTAACGTCGATCTCAAAACAATTCTTCCTCATAAAGTCTAGGCCCAGGATGCAGTCGTCCATTATATTAGCCACGATGACATTATGCAGGTAGATCATGTTGCCTAGCTTCAACTTCATCTCCTTCTCTCCACGGACGGGTATGCGCTGACCGGTGGCTGTCACCAAATTAATGCGTTCTCGGTTGTATGCGGAGTCCCCAAGGAACCGACTTATAAGTTGGGAACTGACAACCGTGCGAGAGGCTCCAGTGTCTATGGTCAGTTTACACGGCGTTCCATTGACTTCGCCCTTGATGATTAGGCTGTTCCCATCATGGGTTTGTGAGATCGAAATCCTTGGGGCTCTTTTAACATCAGCCAGCACCCGCCAGTTTCCCTGCTGCTGCTGGGCGGTGCTGTCAGCCACACTACCCTCTCGATATCGATCACCTTCCCTTTCTACAGTTCGTTTAGGGCAGCTGGATCGAAGATGGCCCCTTTCCCCACAGCCGTAGCACCTAGGGCTGCAGCCCTTATTGCGGTCCTGAACTGTAGCTGCTGCAACCTCCCTGACGCGGTGGGAACGATGATCCTGCCGCACGGCTTCCACCTCCAGTGCATGGGTCAAGGCGTCCTTAAGCGTCTCGTGGTACCCGAGCCTGACAGCAGCTCTGACTTCAAGGTCGCGGATGCCGTCGATGAATGTCTGCACCAGGTTCCCTACAATGAGCGCAGGTACAGACTGGTACGCTTTTCGAACCAGCTTTTCCACCTCAAGGGCCCACTGCTGCAGGCTTTCGCGTTGCACGCGATCTCTGAGCTGCGCACGAAAGACGTGTTCCAGGTGAGCATCGCCATATCTCGCCTCCTATGCCTCAAGGAGCTGCTCGTAAGTCACTTCCTTACCGAGAGCTTCCAGAACAGTTAAGGCCTGGTCGCGTAGGCCTAGGGTGAGAGCAGTCATGGCCTGACTTTTATTCCAGCCGTTCGCTTTCATGACAGCCTCGAACTGGATTTTGTAGGCCGACCAGGAAGAACTCCCGTCGAACGGCGGCACTTTGAATCCACGTAGCGAAGGTGTTGTAGCTACCACAGGAGCTGTAACTCCATCCCCAATTTTGAGGTTGTTCAGCGTTTTCTTCACGTCAGCCATCACATTTTCAACCCGATTGTACACTTGGTCGATTCGGGTTTCAGCTTCCGACAGGCGGTTATCATATTGAGCAACCTTATCCTTCACCTCACTTATTTCTTTCCCGAAGGTAGCGTGAAGGTCCTTCATGAGAAGTATCTGCTCTTCCTTATCGCGTTTAAGCTGCTCTTCCAACCGACGGCCCTGTTCCTCCTGTTGGCGGGCCTGTTCCTCCTGTCCGCGCTGCAGCTGCTCTTCCAACCGCCAAGCCTGTTCCTCCTGTCGGCGGGCTTGTTCCTCCTGTCGGCGGGCCTGTTCCTCCTGTCGGCGAGCCTGTTCCTGCAGCATCATCATCAGAGTACCTAAATCAGGTGCTGCAGATGCAGGAGCTGCTGACGGGCCGGCCTCCGTGGTCGGCAACTGGCCTGCCGACGTCTATGACGTTGCACCACCAAATCGTCTCTGGTCCGTCTCCTGTTGGCGTTGACTTCGGGTACGGATATCCTCGGTGTCGTCTTTAGGTAAAATCGGCATATTTGATCCCACTTCTGACACCAATTGTTACGAGCTTGGGGTTCGAGACAATTAAAAACTGCCGATTGAATTACCAAAATTGACACTTTAATTACACAACACTAATTACAATCTAAAATCACACTAATAATAAAACACAGTTCGCCGTTATTTCGCTTCGAAGTATTCTCTTGTATCGCCAATTCAATACTGCTTGGTCATGGTCCATACCGGCCTTATATAGGGCCTCAGACAGTTTCCAGAACCTTCCACTGTAGCGACATCTAGAATGTTCGAGTACATATCGGTTCCGAAATTTCTGGAAGGATCTCGACTCTCCTAGTTCTGCTACTCGACACTAGAGGGCGCTAGTGTAACTAGTGTTGCCATGTACAAGACATTAATAGTGGCGCGCAAACCTTTCTTTTACTCGACACTAGAGGGCGCTAGTGTAACTAGTGTTGCCATGTACAAGACATTAATAGTGGCGCGTAACAATATTGTTCTCTATCTTGCAAGTATGATTTGAACCATTCCAAAGTAATCCCACGAATACCTATACTATTTAATTTATTAATCAATATATTCCCAAAATACAGTCCCAAAATACAGCTTTGCACGACTCGCGACGATGGTTTTAAAAAGGAAGGAAAGAAAAAATATTTATATCTATTGTTTTATGACTGAACTAGTGAACGAAAAGGTAAATGTGATGGGAGAAGGTGAATGGGAAAAATTGTGCAGTAAAGTTAAAAGTATTGAGGAAGAATACCGAAAAAATTATCATGTGGTCGACCTGATGACGGAAACATTTATCATTCGCTTTGGATGATGATTCTGATGACGGAAATTCAAGCGAAGTTGAAAGTAATGATGGAGTTGCATCCAGTAACACTAACACACCATCGACATCTTTTGCTTCCATGTGACTCAAGAGTTAAGTTTTCTTGTTACAAACTACTTTATATTTTACGCCAGAAATAAAAAAATAATGCACGTAAACATTATCCATTTTTAATTCCAACCTCTTCCAAAGGTCTAAGTACCTATTATGAGTCTACAATAAAACAATTAATTACTATTATATTATAAAACAATAGCCTAGTACAATGTAGTACTTTAGAACGCGACTGTTCCATGCGTAGACACACTCCCTTCACTGTCGGTCAGCGTTCTTTTTACGTAACGGGACCTGAGTGTATATTAGCCTGTGGGCGTAAATTACGGTCTCATGGTAACTCCCCCCCCACACCCCAGCCTACGAATTTTGAGTATATATATATATAAAAATACTGGCAGACATATTTTAAATAGCACATCTCAAAAATATTAATTATTTAAACTGCACTTTCAGAAATAAAAAATATTTAAAGATCATTCAAATTTTTATATATAAAGATATATTCCAAATCGTAGGCTGACGTGGTGGGGGGGGGGGGGGGTCTCTTGGTAGAGAGTAATTACATTCTGTGATTAGGACACTTACCTCTTAGTAGGCTGTGGGTCACTCTGTGGTCTGTAGTTAGTGTGGTGATTGTTAGGACAAGGGAAATAATATAAATCTATGGAGTGTAGAGACAAGGAGGACCATCTCTATATAAGAAAAGTGTGGCGCTGCAGTAGCATAGGATAAAATAAAAAAGGGCCAAAATTAATTAGAATAAGATGAAGAAATAAACAAGGACCGACCAATCCGCTTGCTTTTGTACTACGTAAGTAGTTGAGGTTTTGTATACTGGCATTTTACTAACTACTCTCATGAAATTTTTCAAATATTTGAATTCAGCTGACTTCACTCAATCTACAACAGCTATATTCATATCGTAGTTTTTCAGACGCCAGCGCTATTGTGGTAGGTTTTGGAACCTCTATTTTCAGTAAATAGTAGGACACTTTTTCAACTTTCGCCCCTTATAAGATGGTTCTCCTTGTACTCTACACTCCATATATAAATCGAATCGATATATCGATATAATTTTTATGAGAATATATCGATATTTTTGCGCAAGCCTAGTGATCTAGTGATTTTACGTATATTATAGTATATACACTCTTATCTATGGTACATACACTCTTATCTATGCTAGTGATTGCATATTGTATTTGTTTGGCCTAAAGGTCTAGATGCCAGGCCATAAACTCCAAAAAAAAAATTGTATTTGTTTTTGTTTTGCAATTGATTTTAAATTAAGTTTTTATGTTTTGAATAATGTGAATAATAATAGTATAATACAGTATGATGATTCTTGAGTATTTAATTGAGTTTCATTTGCAAGACTGTATTAATATTTTATCCGAACTTGATAACTTAGGATACTTCAATATAAAAATAGAGTAAATAATTTCATCCTTCTTATTAATTGTTATTTAATAGCATACTACATTAGAGTGAATTACATTACTTTTTGTTTATTACAGTTTTATTAAACTATTTGAAACATATCCAGATGTGGGTGATAAAGTTCTCTGTAACCCTGTAAAATATTTACAAGCATGTAATAAGGATATAATTAAAGCTCAACAAATTATTTTAGAAAAAGAAGAATATAAATCTGTATTATCTAAACTTACATATTCTTCACTAAAAAGGAATGTACACGCAAGATTTTTTGGATTACCAGTATGCCCTGAGTTGCATCGGACTGTATTTCCAAAAAATGTGGATATGGGCTGTTTTTTAAAAGTATCAGGTAATTTATTATTATTATGGGGTATAAATTTATTTCCTCATCTAGTTCGGCAGCCAAAATTTCTAGGTATTATTACGCGAAAAATGGGAAGGATGGTTGACCCTTTTTACTAATGCCTCTAAACTCTCCGATAATAGTTTTGTAGGTTCAGCTATCTGGATACCGAAATATAAAATTATTTTAAATTTTAAAAATTCAAATGATACTTCAATTTTCACTGGAAGGGGTTGCTATTTTAGAAGCAATTTTATTTATAGAAGAGCTTAAAATTATCAAATGTATTGTTTTTACTGACTCATATAGTTCATTACAAAGCATTTCATCTAACCCATTTCGAAGTAAATCGAAATTCTCAATTATTTTTGAAATAAAAGATTGAGACCTGAAACTTACTTGGCTGCCAAGTCATAGTGGCATATGTGACAATGAAATTGTCGATTCCTTAGCAAAGCAAGCATCTACTTGTGGTACCCTCATGCATCACATAACATATACTCATGACCTTATTTCTCTTGCGAAAATCGATCAGATGTCGATTGGAACTCTCTTTGGAAAAAAACTCAGAAGTGTATTGATAAATATTATGCAGAACTCCAACCTAACATCCCCTCCAAGCCATGGTTTTTTAAATTTAGAAAGGGCTCCAAACATAGTACATCTGTTATATGTATAATTAGATTGGGATACACTTGTTCTCCTGTATTTTTAGCAAAACTTAAGATTAAAGATAGCTCAATTTGCGAGTGTGGATTAGATGAAGGTACGATCGATCATACATTTTTTAACTGCCCCAACCTCTCCGTTTCATTATACAATTTTCTTCCGAATGACATCCCTCGTCCTGTAAATCTTAAGTCTTTGTTAAATTTAGTTTACACTCCTTTTGTACAAACTTTATTAGACTTCATATCCATTAATAACATTAAACTATAGTACTTTTGCCACTTACCTATATCCATTTTATTACATTAGCAATAATTTTGTAAAACTATTATAATGTTAATTCATTCGAAAATAACTACATAAGTAAGTTCGTAATATAAAGCTAAGTAAGCACATCTACGGAAATGGAAACTAGTCAATACTCTGTGTGACTCTCATGAAATACTTGACACTGACAGAATCCATTGGAAGTTGCCAAATTAGGAAAAAATAAATAAAAAATAGTTGGACAGCATAAATATATAAAAGAATACGATAAATATACACTCAATATGGTGAAATGTATAAATAAAAAATATATCATAAAAATCCAACTAGATGGACGCCCTCGACAGGGGAGACCAAACAGCCGAATGTTAGGAGGAAAGGGAAAGAAACAATGCAGGCGGTATCGAGGAGCACCGCCTTCTACATTTGAGCCCGGAGTGGATAATGTGAACCCTTAAACAATTGTATCTGTATATTTTTTATTTTCAATTCTGATACAAAACTATAGTTTGGTTGATACTGCTCAAGTTTTTACTAGTATTACTCCTTAGTGAAGTTTTATATATTTTTTAACAAATATGTCTGAGAGCTGTAGTAGCTCAAGAGCTAAGTGATTGCTGTAAATTGCACCGTACACGAGCAACCGGGTTCAATGTTGTTCAAACCCGCATGAAAAAAAATTTTCAATTACGTAGGAGGTTTACCAACACTAAGTAGTTTTTTCACTTAAGTAAATGGCATTCCCCTGCTTCCCCTTGAAATATATTGTGTTGTCAGAATTTTCCTTCATATTGTAAATAAAACAGATTTTATATAAATTCCAGGTACAGTTGTCAGGGTCACACAAACAAAAATGTTGGAATATCAAAGGAAGTATGTTTGTATGAAATGTAAATATGAGAACTGTGTTGAAGCTGACTTTGAAAATCGTTATATTTTAAAGGCGCCTTCTAAGTGTGGTAATATGGAGATAAGATGTAGATGTTCAACATTCACACAAATTAATTTGGTTTCTAGAGAACACTGTCGAGACTACCAAGAGATAAAGATACAAGTGGGTGCAATTTAAAACTATTTGATTGTTAAAAGCTTATTTACTGATAATGATAACTGTTATCAATGACAGCGGAGTGGTGGTAGTGCAATGTTTAAGTTTTTGTGTTAATTTAATTAATATTCAATAACCTAAATTTGAACTCAGCCAGCATCTACATACAATTGTTGGTAAGTACTGATTTATGAAATGCTCAGTGGTGTTCATGATAGAACAAGAAAAAGATAAAATAAATAAAAATAATTTAATTATAGAACAAAATTTAAAAAATGGGTAACCTGATTTAAATTTGAGTATTTGTAAGCAATTTAGAGGTAAAACAACAGGTCTTATTAACTTGCATGATTGGTCTTCTAACTGGTTAGCCTGTAAGTCGTGCTGTGTTACATATTGTATAGAACAGGGGCTCCCAAAATTTTCGGTTTGTGGCACTTTTACATGTTTAGTATTTTGTATCGGCACCCTAGCTATGCGAAATAGGGCACAATGATACTAGGTAGATAGGCACAAAATTTAATAATACATCCACAATATGAAGCTGACTTTTTATATTTGTATTGACTACTACACAAACACATTTATTATTTAAGAAATATAGGAAATATAATATAATGGCAACGAGAATGTGACGTGTGTGCTTGGTGATCTCCACACATTTTTTTAAAGCGTGGATAAGGCTTGATACCGCTGCTCATTTCTTGCTCGACATTGATCTTTGAGCGATATTTGCTATTTATTACATCTACAGCTAAAAATCCGGTTTATTTTGTATTTGCTAATACATAAGTTTAGTTTCCGGAAAATGCTAAACAGGACCGTCTCACGGCGCCCATCTTTACTCTCTGCAGCGCACCAGGCGCCGCGGCGCACACTTTGGGAACCCTTGGTATAGAAACTTGCGAGTGGTGGGCTTAATATATTGGTCCATTGATATAAGTCTTCTTCAAATCACGTCATTGCTCTTAATTTTAAAATAATTTTTAGGTAAGAGTACCTCAAATCAATTTTTCATCATCATCATCATTACAGCCCTTCACAAGTCCACTGCTGAACATAGGCCTCCCCCAAAGAATGCCACAAAGCACGGTCCCGAGCCACCTGCATCCATCGACTTCCTGCAAATCTTACCAGGTCGTCACTCCATCTAGTGGGGGGACGCCCTACACTTCGCCTGCCGGTACGAGGCTGCCACTCGAGAACCTTTCTTCCCCATCGGTTGTCGGTTCTTCGAGCTATATGGCCGGCCCATTGCCACTTCAGCTTACTAATCCGTTGGGCTATGTCGGTCATTCTGGTTCTACTGCGGATATCCTCATTTCTGAGTTTATCACGCAGAGAAACTCCGAGCATAGCCCTCTCCATAGCTCGCTGAGCGACCTTGAGCTTCCTCATCCGGCCAGCAGTGAAGGACCACGTCTCAGTTCCGTATGTCATCACTGGCAACACGCACTGGGTGTACAGTCTCGTTTTCAAGTTTTGAGGTATACCTGACGAGAAGATGTGCCGTAATTTCCCGAACGCTGCCCAACCGAGTTGAATCCGTCGATTGACCTCTCGGTCGAAGTTGGACTTACCTAGTCGGACTATTTGTCCCAGGTAAACATACTCGTCAACAACTTCGAGCTTAGTGTTCCCAACAACTACCGGCATAGGTGTGACATGGACATTAAACATGATCTTTGTTTTGTCCATGTTCATCTTAAGACCTATCCGTTGGGAAACACTATTGAGGTCATTGAGCATAGTGCTTAGGTCCTCCAGCGATTCTGCCATAAGGACTATATCGTCGGCAAATCGAAGGTGAGTGATGTACTCGCCATTGATGTTGATACCGTATCCTTTCCAGTCCAGAAGCTTGAAAACATCTTCCAATGCAGCGGTGAAGAGTTTCGGGGATATGACGTCACCCTGTCTTACACCTCTCTGCAATTGGATAGGTTTCGTACTCTGGTTCTGTACTCGGATAGCCATCGTAGCCCTACTGTACAAGCACTTCAACACTTCGATATACCGACAGTCAACTTGGCATCGCTGAAGGGACTGCAGCACCGCCCAAATTTCGACGGAATCAAAGGCTTTCTCATAGTCCACATACGCCAGACATAGTGGCAAATTGTACTCCTCGGACTTCTGTACAATTTGCCGAAGGGTATGTATGTGGTCTAAGGTGCTAAAGCCTTTTCGGAAACCGGCTTGTTCGGGAGGCTGGAAGTCGTCAAGTCTGCGCGCGAGACGATTCGTAATGACTCTCGAAAACAGCACGTAGACGCGGCTCAGAAGGGAAATCGGTCTGTAGTTCTTCAAGAGAGCGTTGTCGCCTTTCTTGAAGAACAAGACCACCGCACTTCTGCTCCACGCCTCCGGTGTAATGCCACCATGGAGGACGGAATTAAAGAGCTTCTGAAGGACTTCAAGTACCGGTTTTCCACCCGCTTTCAGAAGCTCCGCTGTAATTCCATCCTGGCCTGGGGCCTTGCCGTTTTTAAGGTGCTGGAGAGCCATTCTAATCTCGCTCAGACTGACGTCCGGGATATCATCGGAATAATGTCGGATAAGACTCGCTCTTGGATCGTTACTCACACTTGCGTGTGGCTCCAACGATGACGTGTACAGCTGCCCATAGAACCTCTCAATCTCACTCAAAATCTCAGGTGCCCCGGAAACGATGCTGCCACATTCGGTCTTCAGCTTTGACAGTTGGCTCTTTCTGGCAGACAGATCTCTGGCAAAGACTTTGGAGCCTTGGTTCCGCTCGATCGCTTCTTCAATACGAGCTGTATTGAAGTTGCGTAAGTCCCGCCGCATGCATTTGGAGATCTGTCTGTTCAGTTGCCTGTATGCTGTCAAATCTGTTGAAGAATGTAGCTTCATCTCCCGTCTAACAGCCATGAGATTAAGAGTGTGATCGGAGAGTTTTTGTGTTCTTCTGCGGCGGGTCTTGCAGAACTTAGCTCCGACCGCATGGACAGTTTCCACGAGCTTGTCATTCAAATCGTCCACTTCATTGCAGTCTTCTAGGCACTGAAAACGGTTTTGCAACTCGAGCTGAAAGGTTTCGGGACTTTGGATTAGAGCACGAGGGGGACGGAGCGTTGACTTCATTAGACGAGACCTCTCCAACTTAACGTTTAGGTTCAGTGTGCCTCTAACCATTCGGTGATCGCTGCCGGTTTTCACCCTCGCGATCACTGAGACATCACTGAACAGTTGTCGCCTGGTCGTCATAATGAAGTCAATCTCATTTTTTGTCGAACCGTCGGGGCTCGACCAGGTCCACTTCCTGTGGGGCCGCTTCTGGAAGAAAGAGTTCATCATAAAGAGTCCCTCTTTCTCCATGAAGTCGGCCAACTGCTGGCCCCTTGGGTTCCGTTGCCCTATTCCAAATTTCCCCACTTTCAGCTCACCGTTCTCTCTTGTGCCTAGTTTTGCATTGAAGTCTCCCATTAACACCGTATATTGGGTTTTGGAGGAATGCATGGCTCTAGAGATATCCTCATACATTTCCTCCACCTCCTGATCGGGGTGTGCCGAGGTTGGTGCGTAAACCTGTATGACCTTCAGCGAATACCGTTTGGTGATTCTGAGTATAAGGTACGCAACCCTCGTCGACACACTCTCAATCTTTACAACGTTGTTAACGAGAGACTTGTGGACGATAAATCCGACACCTCCTTGGGACAGATGGTCGCCCTCCCGGTGATAGAGCAAGTTGCCGGATTCAAGGATTACCGTGTCCTCCCCCTCTCTTCGGACTTCGGATAATCCTATAATATGCCAGCGTAACTTGTCTATCTCTTCTTCCAGCTCCACAATCTTCTCGTCAGTCCTCAGGGTGCGTGCGTTGTATGTTGCCAGGTCGAGTCGTTGTAGGTGGCAACCGAACCTCCACCGGAGATTCTTAGCACCCCCTGCCCCGCCGTTACCATGGTCGCCACCGTAGCCAGGAATAGCGGGGCCGCCGGGGACTGGGGGCCGTCTCTTCGTAACCTTCATTATGGGGGGTATATTGCCATAGTTGCCACGCTTGGCGAGCGGGTTGGCAACCGCAGTTTTTTATTGTATTTTGTCGTTACCAGGAAGATGCTGCTGCCCATCTCCTGCCTGTTTCCCTTTGTCGCCTTTTACGACACCCACGGGAAGATATGGGGTAGTGGATATTCTTAACCGCCACTACACGGCAATTAATTTAATTAATTAAATAAATCAATTTTTGATCCATCATTATTATCACCACAGCCCTCACAATTCCACTCGTAAACATAGGCCTCCTCTAAACAATTCTAGAGTAGTGAAATGGCGATGAAAGATTGAATGGATATTTTTTCATCTATATTTTTAAATTCTAAGATGAGATCAAGATATATGATGGTGACAGTTTCATTTTTATAAATAATCTTTTTAAATTAAATGGATATAACCAGTAATGCAGTTTTTCACATTACGTAGTGATAGTCAAACAATAATAATAGTCTTAGGCAAGGCAGTTTAATTGGTTATGCTTTTCCCTTTCCCGTCACAGCTTATTAATTTCGCTATATTTGCCTCGCTTATAAGAGAAGTTTATCTCGCATAAGTGGTTGTGAGTTGTCTGAAAATTAGCTTGCCTTAAAATTTTAAAGTAAGAAAGCAAACAGGCAACACTGTTTGCATGTTGAAAAATATTTTCATTGTTACTATATGTGAAACCAGATGTAGAATTGATAAAACATGTTGTAACTCAGCAATAAATTACTTTGGTAAATCTCTTATGTATAAAGTGTACAACTTCATTGTAGGAACAAGTCAATAAGCTTAGTATTGGCACAATTCCGGGTTCTATGTGGGTTGTACTTGAAGATGATCTTGTCGACTGTTGCAAGCCTGGAGATGATGTTGTTATTTGGTAAGATTATAGTATTCTTATTAATATTTAACTAAAGATACGTAAAATAGAGCATTGATAATTATATAATTACCATATGGCTGCCAACAGATGGTGGTATAACCGACCAGATACCAAAGTCAAAGCACAGGGAGCAGTGTGAAAATGTGCATGTGGCTTCTAATCCTGCAATTACTAATTCATGATATGATATGTTAATCAGTTATTTTTGATTATTGTAATTAAATAGGCATGGGTATAGGCTTTTTTTCTAGGGTGGACACAAGGCAAAGCTGAAGTGCTTTGACTCTAATATGGGAGTGGAATAAGAATAAAATATGGAAGTGGAAGTGGTCAGTTGGTACGTTGAGGAACACATTGTGTATAGGATTTTGCATAGGCAACAAGAGGAACAATCTTACTAGTTTCCATATGGAGAATGTAATATTTTTGATAGACTTGCAACGAATATTCGGCTAATATTCGGTATTCGGCCTATTCGGGTACTTTTATCCTATTCGGTCGAATACCGCATATCTACGTACTATTCGGCCGAATACTAAAGAGCCGTGGTAGCTCAGATGGTTAGCGCTCGCTGTAAATGTCACAGTACGCGAGCAAAGCGGGTTCGATCCCCGCCAGCACCAATGGAATTTGTTAATTGCAATTTTAAGTGCTGATTTAACATGTGCACGGCGGTGAAGGAAAACATTTGTAAAAAATAAGAAAAAAAATATTTCTAAGATATTTGAAGTTCGCCAACATGTACTGGGGCAGAGCGGCGGACACTTCCTTGCCCTAAAAGCCTCTCTGAAATGAGGGGTGGCCTGTGCCCAGCTGTGAGACGTATATAGCCTGTAACTATTCGGCCGAATACCGATTACATACTTAAGTAAGAGGTTTTATTATACTATTAATATACTATTCGTTGAAAGTCTAATTTTTAACTACATAAGCAATTGAATATATTTAACTTTTATGCTTACAGTGGGACAGTCCGTCGGCGATGGCGTCCTTCAGTGCAAAACAAACGATCGGAAGTAGAGTTGGTTATGCAGGCTAACTATGTTGAAGTTAGCAATGCCCAGAGGTCTGAAGTGATAGCAACGGCTCCTGACGTTAAGGATTGTTTTAATGAGTATTGGAGCAAATTTGAAGCATGCCCATTGAAGGGCAGAGATCAGATTCTTTCTTCTGTATGTCCACAGGTATTACAATAAAATAGTTAGGGAATTCTTTACTCTTTATTTTTCTGGGAAAAACTGGACTTTGTAATTTATATGGAGGCACTGCCATTGATATTCTTAGTCGGTTATTACACATAGTTGTAGCTGGAATGCTGTAATCTTTTTAAAACTAGGTAATGCAGACTAAGGAAAAATTATATTGCAACTACTTAATTATCTGTCAAATGAAATCAGTCTGAACATGGATTTTTTTTTTATAAAACCGTAGTGACAAACGAACTTACAGTCTACCTGGTAATAAGTGATGCGTGGTCACCTCTGTGGACTAAGATGGAATGCCTCACAGCCTGTTATTATACTGGCTCTCTTTACCCTTCAGATCGAAACACGCTAGAACTGCCATTTGTCGACAGAAATAGGTAAGAGAATTTTTTCTGGGTAACGTAACGAAAATACATCGAAGCCAAAATCGCGCTATCAAAGTTCCGAAGTAATAAGCAATATATATAGAATAGCTACTTAGCCGCTCCCCGGGCAGATATCTCCCCTTGCCCGGCGGGATATCTCCCCTTTTCCTTCCACCGGCCACAATATCATTATTATTTTGTTCTCGAGAAATGCGAGACGAAAATTGATTACGAAAATACATATTATACACATATGCATAGATATTCTCTTAACAACCATAGCGTTTAAATCTAGAGACCTTGAGATTTTTAGATATGTTCAAATTGGGACTTTGGATGGGACTCATTACAATAACTTCCTAAAATATTTTAAATGTTCTTTGTTGCTTGCACTGGATTTAACACGGTAATAAATAGTAAGGCTAATATGAGTTGGCCTACAGCTATTTTCCTATATAGGAATCCTATGGCTTTATTAATGCACATGTTTTAATTTTTTTCTTATCTGATATATGATAGTCTACTCATGCTTTTTGTGTATACATGGTCATTGAACACTGAGTATATTCTATTTTTGCATTGAATAGTGGAAACAGATTTCCTTCTGTTTTATTAAAAAGAATGTATAGCCTATTTAGCTATTTATTTAGCTGGCTATCATATTTTTGTAGACTTAATAAAATACCATTCTAAAGATTTTAAATGTACAATAGGTCATATTGTTTTATATTTGCTTTTTCATTTTAATCACGTAACTTCAACATAGAAAATTTTATTTTCTCAACAGGTTGTCCCAAAAGTCGACGTCAAAATCGAAAGACGTCGGAATCGCGTGATAGGACAAATTATAATAGTTACCAGAAAAAAAAAATCTTAGGTATTTTTTAAATTACAGTAGGGAATTTCTTTTTTTTTTAAATGTACAGCATGTGATGCCAATCCACACTTCATGGATTGATTCTTCCTCTCACTCAAACTGGAATCTTAGTTACGCTCAAGCCAAGCTTCGTTACCCTAAAATCATTTTTAGTAGATAAAAAGAATTTTTTTAAACTAGTATTCTTGAAGAAAAATTTTTACCCCTTTAATCTAAGAAATAATGTAGCAAGCGCTATACCATTTTAGAATTCTTATTAAATGCGTGAACTTTTAAGGTTACTTGCTAAACTGGCGTGGTATATTTTTTTGCAGTACAGTCAGTTAAAGTTGGGCGAAGTATTAATTTTTCGTTCTTGGTTCGGATAAATGTGACATTTTCTTCTAAGTTGGAGCAGTTAGCTAAGAATTAAAAACAAAAGGTTACACAAGCACTACCCAAGATAAGTCGAAAAAAGTAAAGATTTGTAGCTAAAGGAGCTAAAAAACCATCACAGACTGTACATTTTTCAAAAGAAAAAAAAAAGATATTACTGTAATTTAAAAATTACACGACTAAGATTTTTTTTATATATTTCTGGTAAATATTATGATTCGTCCTATCACCCAATTCCGGCTTGACGTCGACTTTTAGGACAACCTGTATAAGATTGTTGTTATATTGCAGTGTTGTTTCAGCACTTAACAAGCTCACATTGACATGTTGACAGAAAATGCCAAGGCTAAATATTTACAATAGGGCGAAAGTTATTATTTTCCTGGCCGGTCTATACCTACATATTTTTCTTCTATAGGTACATATAATTCTTTTTTAGGTATATGGTTTGCATTTAGTAAAACTGGCTGTAATGCTGACAGTAATCACTGGATCAAACCACGAATTAGAAGATGAATGCAACAAATCAACACATGATGAGAAATATTCGATGCATGTGAGAGGCCAGTGTCATTTACTTTTAGTTGGGGACCCCGGTAATTTTTTTATTCTGTATCTATAAAATTGTATTCCATTTATATGATGTGTATATTTATTATATTTTATCTATCAGTCACACCATAGCAACTTGAAGCTGCTATTTTATACTGGTGTTCTGCGCCAGGGTAGTCCTCCCTTACCAAACATTTCTTTTTCAGGTACTGGCAAGTCACAGCTGCTCCGAGCAAGTGCAGAGTTAACACCTCGTTCCGTGTTCACATCTGGTGCTGGAAGTACAAGGGCGGGCTTAACTTGCGCAGCGCTTAAGGTGAAAATAACACTATTCTTCAGGTTCCTTTTGAATTATCACTGGGGCCACAAAAAACTGGCTCAGCGAGCGGTATAAAGGAGCAAATTAATGGAAAAATCTATCGGAGAACCAAAACCATGCTAAAGCTTTTCGTTATATTTTTATAACTGAAGTAAAAATGGGTTGGCAACATTCTGTCGCAGTAGCGGCAACTATTGGAGACGTTCTAGTGAAGATATAGTGCTTAGGGAAACATATGTGGGTTGTAGATCGACCAATATCTAAGCCTAAGGTTAAGGGGCTCAGTGACGTACTTTCGAGCATTTAATTCGACGATTGAATTAATGATTGATTCGAAGATTTCCTTAAATCTACATTAAGAATTTTGTAAAATATGTAGTAGCCAATTTCTGTCTATAAATTCAATTTTTTCCAGGAAGATGGCGAGTGGCAATTGGAAGCAGGCGCCTTAGTTCTATCAGATGGCGGAGTTTGTTGTATCGATGAGATCTCACATCTGAGAGAGCATGATCGCACTGCTATTCACGAAGCTATGGAGCAGCAAACCATCTCTATAGCTAAGGTAAGAAGGACGTTTATTTTTGTATTATTAGTAAAATGTTAACAGCATACCAAGGCAGTATATAAAATTATTTTTTTAACGATTGTGAGACGAAAGTTGTACATTAAATTAGTTGGAAGAAAGGGACGTTCTCCTTACTCCACAGAGGTGATAATAATAATTTATAGCCTTAGTAATTTCAACTACAACCATGTTGAACTAGTCTATTTTCAGCTTTTATTCCCCTCATATTTTTTTTAAAGATCCTTTTGGTAAATGAATGGAAGGTAAGTTTTACGTGTATATCCCAAAAATGTTTTAAAATATTTGCTTTTTAATATTTTTGCTAATAAATTTGCTTTGCTTTAATAAGCGTCCATTTTCTGCGCTACACAATTTTCTTAATTATTTTCTATGTGCCTTCTTATCCCTTTAAATTAGACAGCAGATATAAAATTGTATTATTATTCTTATCAGTCCACAAACACCCTGCCGCTGGCCATGCCCACCCAGAAATGACTTGCCGTAATCACCACGATTGGCAGGTGGGTTGTTATTGCATTATGAGTTGATTATACCGCCACTTACGAAATCTTGCTGGTGTTCCTCTGTATCGCCTCTAACCACACGCACGGGTTGATAATAAGGTGACGGAATTTGCCAGCACTTACTTTAACATATTATTGAGCTATTGCAATCTGTGGCAAATGACATGTTTAATTAAAACGTCAAATATTTCATGAGAAAGCGCACGTCATAGATGGACGATCAACACAGGGATTCCATATGTATTTCATTTAAATTGGTCACAAAGAGCACAATAAAACACTTGTACGTAATTACGAGACAATAAAAACTGGGCTAACCATTTCATTTTTGCTAATGTAAGCATGGAACAGAAAAAATACTTCGTACTTTTTTCTAATATAATTTTTTACATTGTTTTATTTTAGGCTGGCATAGTGTGTAAATTGAACACGCGTTGTGCTGTGATAGCAGCGTGCAATCCTAAAGGACATTATCAAACCGATGAACCGCTTAGTTCGAATGTGTCTTTGGGGACACCTTTATTGAGCAGGTAAGAAATACACCAGGACCTTTGCTATGACTAGACACTACCATCACCATCTTTCTCTATATCGTCTTTTTTATAGAATATGGGTGGCTAACGAGCAAACAGTCCATCTGATGGTAAGAGGATGCTGAGGTCCATACACCCACATATATTTATCCTCAATTAAGAATCAAAATGCAGATGCGTTGTCACACCTGAGGACTGATATGGAATGCCCCTGTGGCGGCGCTGTCGTCGCGCCACAAGCGAAACACATCGAAGCCTGAATCGCACTAACAAAGTTCCGAAGTTAAAGCAGCATATATAGAATAGCTCCGAACTACCAATCGGAGCGTTGGTCGCTCCCCGGGCAGAACACCTTGCCCGGCGGGAGATCTCCCCTTTTCCTTCCACCGGCCACACCTCGTTTCCAGTAAAAATGGTCTCCGAATCTCTACACTACGTAGGAAACAGCAGCATTAAGCTGCTATTTTACGCTGGTATTCTGTGACAGCGTGGTCTTATCGGTCGAGCCGACCTATTTGTGCTATCAACCATAATATAGTTGCAGCATGGCTCTACCACATTCTCTCTCATTTTATGTTTGCCATAGTTGCCACGCTTTGCGGGCGGATTGTTCAGATGTTTTGTATGTCGTCGGCCTGGGCCATTTATGTCATAATATGAAAGATGGTGACATATCGGAGGCCACACGATCTTTATGCTTTTATACGTTGTGTCTCTTTACGACAATCACGTCAAACGACATTGAGATCTATTTGTATTTAAACAGAGAGCTGAGCTGAGAGCTCTTACCATTTCTGAACTTGTTTCTATTTTAACGGGAATATTCCAGTACAATTTTTTTGACCTTTTTTCTACATATTCAGTAGTTTTGCCTCGATAGGTCTTTCCTCCCTGAGATCATATAAAAGTCGAGCATGACTTTGGGCACAGACTACCTCTCATTCTTGAGAGGGTTTTATGGTTAAGTAAGAGTGTGCCACGTTGTCCCAAGGAGTGTTGACATTCACAATATCCTCGAAATGTTTCTAATTAGTCGGACATGCCGGTTTCTTCACGATGTTTTCGTTACCGTTGTCAATCAGTAGTCAAGACATAAAATTGCAATTAAGAATTTCAGTGGCGCAGGATAAGCTCCGTTTAATTGAACGTGTTGCATCGAGAGTGTTTGTTTTTATCGATTTTTATGTACGTTGACTCTTTCGCGCGTTATTACTTCTGTATTTTTATTCAGAGGAAAGAGCGTCGTGTAAAAGCTAATCGCGCGTGATTCCGTATGAAAAACTTCCGCGACCTGGAATGTAAGAAAATCACGCAGTTTTGTTAAAGGCGCGTTCTGAAGATTAGTGTTCTAAAGAAATGGACAAAATGGTTAGAAGGGTTATTATACAAGCAATTATATTTACTGGTCTATGCGTATAATTTTTTTTTTTTTTTTATAAGATAAGGGTGACAAACGAGCACACAGTCCACCTGATGGTAAGTGGTTGCTGCGGCCCATAGACATCTACATCTATCCTCGCTTGCGAATCAAAATGCAGATGCGTTGTCACCCGTGAGGACTAAGATGGAATGCCTCATTTCCAGTAAAAAGGGCCTCCGGCCACCTGCACTCACCAAGCGAAACGCAGAGGTAAATCTCTACTTCACGCTGGTATTCTGTGAGGTCGTGGTACCACTCCGGATCGAGCCGGCCCATCCGTGCAACAGCGAAAGCTGCGCGTGGCTCTACCACTGTTAATTTATTAATTTAATTAGTTAATAGATTATGTATTTATTAATTTATTTTTATATATTATTTTTAATATATTTGTAAATAAAATTAAACATAAGATGACATGCATTAGATTTATATCTTGCAAAGATTTCTGTAATAAAAAGCCTTGCTCCAATCTAATGTCCGTCATTTTACGACGAAAATCTTTTTCACAAAGCCGTGCGTGTGAATTACGTTTGAAACACACAAACTTAAACGCATGACTATATGGCCAGAGAGCGCGCGGGTGCGCGAGCATTCTCGTTCTCCTTTTCTATTTGTACATGCGCGTTCTTTCTCGCGCGTTAGCCGATTCACGCGTTAAAGAGCGTATGTGTAAAGGCGGCTTTTCGCTCGGCAATCAACACTTAACAGGAACTGTAATTGAATTTTAGTTACTAAAAGCTGTCGTGGTAGTATTTAATGATTTAAATTTTATTCTAGTACATGTTATGTAAAATGTTTCAGATTTGACTTGATATTCATTCTACTTGATTCAAAAAATAGTTCATGGGATAATTTAGTGTCATCATACATATTGTTTGGAGGATCCAAAGCAATTGAATCTAAAACAAGATGGAGTATTGAAAAGTTACAGGTAACATTTGAAATAAAACTCATAAAAGTAGACATAAGGTCAGGCGCTTCTTTGCTAAAATTCAATATAAGCTGTAAAAGTTAATTAGCTTTCTATCACTTTGCGGTTAGTCATTGAACAGATTATATTTCTGATGATGCCTAGTTCAGACGGTACTCTAATGGTTTCCTAGTGTAATAAGGTTGGAGTGGGACATACTCTTCAAAGTAGGTAATAAATACAATTTTAGGTTTATTCGCGGATCTTAGTTGTTAATATATAATATATAAAGGTTGAAGTAAAAGTAAGGCAATATATAATAAAGTTTCTTACCTTTATGATTTAAAGGCAAACATTTCACATCTATATTAAATTAAATTATTTTCAGATGTACATAAGCTTAGTTGGACCAAGACGTACGGAAATGTCAAAATCGGCTAATGCTATAATTCAGTCCTATTATATGATGCAGAGAAAGTCTAATAATAGAGATCCTTCCCGCACAACAGTAAGAATGTTAGACAGCCTTGTTAGGTATGTATAAAATTTTACTAGAAGTGAAGAGGAGGTTTCGGTAGTTACTAGATTTACTTTTTTTTTTTTAATATGAAAGAGTTATTCTTTTTTTTTTCAAAAATTTTATGTGGTAGAGCCATGCTCTGCAATTGGTCGGCTCGACCGGGGAAGAACCACGCACTCACAGAATATCGGCGTAAAATAGCAACTTAACGGTGAGTGTAGAGAACTGGAGATCTTTTTTACTGGATAAGAGACATTCCATCTTAGTCCTTATGGGTGGCAACGCATCTGCATCTTGATTCTTAATCGTAGATAGATGTAGGTGTCTATGGTACACTGCATCCACTTACCATCAGGTGGGCTTTGTGCTCGCTTGTAATCCTAATTCTATAAAAATAAAAAAGAGAGAAAGTTGGGTTTCTTAAAAGTCGATTAAGGGCCTAATTAATAAATATATGGGATCTCTGACTCTTTGTGGATGAAATATTGTCAGAAAAAATATTTTGGACCAGAGGTGCAAAAGGTTTGAGACCTTACTGTGGTTGTTTTCGGGTCTGGTAATATTGTGACTTTGACATTGCATTTCCATCTACCTCCGATCTAACTGTTTACATGCATTATGTATTAGATATTATGCATTAGATGGGAACGAGTATAATAAACAAGTGCCTCAGTGTTTGCGGGTGCATTTGCAACACAATTATTATAGGTCGAATTTTGAGCGCTGTACAATTTTGGTGGCTTCTTATCCAACAAGTTTTAATACTCAAATAAAATGATATCCATTAATTTTACAAAGTGAATTTGACAAACAGCAATATTCACAAACATTCCTTTATGGTCTCGTAGTGCACTCGAACGCACAGAGTAATGAAAAGTTAATCATAAACAACACTTGAGGGATGAACTACACTATGCGTTCAATTAATTTTGATAATTAAAGTAGCTCGCTAACTACTTCACGCTCCACCAAATGCGACAAATCAACACAAATGTCATACTACTACCACAGAATAAATAATAGTACTACGTACAGAAGTTGCACTCTTTTGATGTTGACTGCTTGCCGACATTTTAATAGCCTACATAGTTATTATTAATCAGATAAATCGCGCACGCAAGCTAAATAAAACTTTATCACTGCGCGCAAGTGTCCGTAATACTTTACATCTTTTCTCCTTACTACGTCACAACGGACTTTCCGTGGTTGCTAAGGGCTGTTAATAAAGAGTAAAAAAATAAATTGTGAAATGTTAAGTTACTTAGGGAAAGTACCTATGCTGACTTTAATCGACCATATTATCTACTATGTGAGTTCTGTGATGCCCAACGCATGCAACTTGCAAGGCCATTCGTCGGGAATCGCGATGCCTGGTTCGTATTAGGTAGATAGCGTAAACAACAAATAAACCCGAAATACGCTTCCTAACAGAAATATGATCGTAATCCACTTAGTTGAAAATCTTGTAAACAATGTTTTAATTTCAGTATTTTGTGCTATTATAACTTAAATATTTTAATTACAAAGTGTAGGTGGGTACTTGGATAGTGAAGTAAATTTCAACTTAGTTTTGTAATAAAGGACTTAGGTACATATCTTAAGTACCTATCTAACAAAACAATGAAATAAATTTACGTTTCATTATCCTTTGTTAACTCGAAAAATGATATATCTGAATCCTTTTAATTGCTCATTAAGCATCCATCCCCGCAACAATTAAAGTAGGAACGACGTTTATTCATCATAATTTACCAAATAGATAGGTATATATATATATATATATATATATATAATATATATATATATATATATATATATATATATATATATATATATATATATATATATATTATTCTTAAATTACATTAACACAGAGTGACAGAGGCCTGCTACTACCACTATAGTCGTATTTTTAATTAAACGAAGCTGCCTGACGTTTATTGGGTTGTAAGGTTTTGATGAATCAAAAATAGTGTTGTGAACGGAAAACAAAATGACTGACTGATAATGAAAACGAATGAATGGTAAAAAAAAATTCGTCAAGATTTATTTAAGGTTATGTTGTCAGTTCATCAGGCGAAAATTATCCATAGTGTATGTCGTCAAAGGGATTTCATAAAAGGTAAAAAAAGTATTACATTTTTTTTATTGATCGTGATCAGATATAATATCATCACTTTCACGGTCACTGTCAGTAACATTTACCATAAACTTGTCTGAGACACTATCATGTGGTCGATATTAAACATTTTGTCTTCTTTTTTTATTATGTGAGCCACGCAGCTACTCCATATTTCGACAGTCACTTCATTTAGTCCTTCTTCGAAAAGTTTTTTACATCTTTCATTTTGAAGGTCTTGTTGTTTCTTGCAACCATACCCTTTGGCCTGCGCCCAAATCAGCTCAATGGGATTGAGCTCACAATGGTAAGGGGGCAAACGTAAAACAGTGACTCCACGCTCCGCTGCCATCTCGTCCACGGCATACTTGTCGCAGTGTTCATGTTTGTGCTGCCGTACAATGTCTAGTCTAGAGTAGCTTTTACCATTTGTGCCTCGAATGGGATATTTTTGCTCGCCAACCCCTCTTGTATTCTTGGTTTATTCCAAGACATTGTAGGCAGCGATTCTAACTTTCTGGAGTGCATTATCCATCACCACTACGGAATTAGGTTTTAGTGTGGGCAAAACCCCACTAAACCACTCCTCAAAACACTCAGCATTCATCTCCTTATGGTAATTTTCTTTTCCCTTTTTAGCCTCAAACACAAGTAAGCTATCTTCTACAAATCCTTATTCCCCGCCTATATGGCTAATAATTAGCCGTTTGCCTTTTCCTGAAGGTCCTTTCAAGCCGGTGGTCAACCCTTCTAAGAATGCCTGCCGGGACGATTGTACAGTCTGGTCAATCCAGTGCTTCTTCGGTGATGACCTTTGAGAAAATGAAAAATACCAATTACTCATTAAATTCACCGGTGGCATGCAATACCTACACTGTAAGCTGCTGTTTTCGAGAGTCATTACGAATCGTCGCACGCACGCAGACTACGATTTCTAGCCTCCCGAACAACCCTGTTTCCGAAAAGGCTTTTGTGTCATAAACCACATACATACTACTTTGCCTTGCGTATGTGAATTATGAGAATACCTTTGATTCCGTCGAAATTTGGGCTATAGTACCTTCAGCGGTGCCAAGTTAACTGTAGGTGCTGAGGTGTTTGTATAGTAAAGCTACGATGGCTATCCGAATACAGAACCAGAGTACGAAACCTATCCAACTGCAGAAAGGTGTAAGACAAGGTGACGTTATACCCCCGAAACTCTTCAACGCTACATTGCAAGACGTTTTTGAGAGTCATTACGAATCGTCGCACGCACGCAGACTACGATTTCTAGCCTCCCGATCAACCCTGTTTCCGAAAAGGCTTTTGTGTCATAAACCACATACATACCCTTCGGCTAATTTAACAGAAACCCGAAGAGTATAATCCGCCACTTTGCCTTGCGTATGTGAACTATGAGAATACCTTTGATTCTGTCGAAATTTGGGCGGTGCTATAGTACCTTCAGCGGTGCCAAGGTAACTGTAGGTGCTGAGGTGTTTGTATAGTAAGGCTACGATGGATATCCGAGTACAGAACCAGAGTACGAAACCTATCCAACTGCAGAGAGGTGTAAGACAAGGTGACGTGTTATACCTCCGAAACTCTTCAACGCTACATTGCAAGACGTTTTCAAGCTACTGGACTGGAAAGGATAGGTAGGAATTAACATTAAAGGTGAGTACATCATTCATCTTCGATTTGTCGAGTCCTTATGGCAGAATCGCTGGAGGACCTAAGCACTATGCTCAATAGCCTCAAAAAGACACTATGAGGATATTTATCCGCAGTAGAATCAGAGTGACCGACACCGGCCAGTCATATAGCTCAAAGAACCGACAACCGATGGGGAAAAAAGGTACTGGTAGGCGAAGTGTAGGGTGACCTCCACTAGATGGAGTGACGACCTTCTAAGACATGCAGGAAGTCGATGGATGCAGGCGTGAGCCACCGACCGTGCTTTGTAGCATTCCTTGGGGGAGGCCTATGTTCAGCAGTGGACTTGTGAAGGGTTGTAATGATTATGATGATGAATAGCTTATACTCAATATCATGTCTTAAATTCATGTGTCATGTTAAATTAAAAATACGATTTTAGTTTGCTTTGTTGATTAATTCAATGATTTTAATAGAATTCTAGTAATATCTTCTTCTGAATTGTTTTATTTGAAAATTTGCGATGCCTTACAGTAGCGAAGAATATTATATTTATATCCTTCAGAGAATAAACCTACAAAAAAGGATAAACACAGGAATATGATATGTAACTTTCAAAATCATTTTGATTATTATATTGCCGATGAATTTGAAAGTTGCTATAGATTTTCAAATATATTGTGACGAAACACCGTCACCTACATATAGTTTATTATTATACAAGGTTATTTTGAAACATACGGCCAAATTTACAGAGAAGGTTCAGAATAAGTAATATAGGCGAATGGTGTTGAAAAATTAATTTAAAAATTCTCAATCATTCTGTCCTTTTTATCTTTTAAGTTCAGAATGCGTGGTAATGCATTATTTCCACAGATGGTCATTTTTAAATATCTAACGCCTACTATTTTACTACGCACGCACACATTCGTAAGGTTCGATCGGTCAGCAAAATCGTTGTAAATTGATCAGCACACAGAGTAGCGCACGCACGTGTAGTTGTTGTTGCCGGTAAATCACATTCAGTTAGGGATAATTTAAAAAAAAGTAGAAGCTCCCTTATTTACTCGTATCCTCAAAACCTGCAATAACGGTATATAATTATTTATATATTTGAAACTTAAGTATAAAATTTGGCTACTCTTTGAAAAATAACTCTGTATTCCAAATGCTTCAGTAAATATAATGAAAATTTTCTGCATTAGTTGTTATTAAAGGATACTTTCCTGTTACAGATTATCACAAGCGCATTGTCGCCTCATGTTTCGCACAACTATATTACCAGTTGATGCGATAATGGCAGTATCTTTGATGGATTTATCAATGCAAGACTGCACTTTGGACGACACAATGGACGCATTGCATTCGGCATTTCAAAAGTATCCAGATTTTGAATACCTGCGCACAGCAAATAAAGTCTTGAAACGCTTAAATCTTCACCATATATGGAAGGAAGAGTTGCTCTACTATGCGAAGTTATTAAGAGTTGATTATAAAACTTTAGAAAGTGAAGTAGAAAAAGGAAATCCTCAGTTATTTTCAAAATATGATGATGTGATGGATGATAATATGCCACTTTCGGCGTCGCTTGTGACAAGTTCATATTTTAATAGAAATGAAAACAAACCAGTGAACCCTGATACTAAATTATTAAATAAAGAGAATATAAATTCTGATGGTGACAAAGATCAAAGATGTATAGTAAAAGACAGATTGGCTGCTACACTTAAAAAACATGCAGGTCTTAATAAATGTGAAAGCAAATTGCCAATTGTACAAAAAAAAGTTACCCAAAAGAGAAAAAGGAGAGAAGTAACTGTAAACACTAACTCAGTTAAAAAGAAGATATTAAAGAAATCCAATAATCGTGGTAAGATTAATATTGATCATTCATCTGAAAGTGATGGAGATTTTAATGATACTACTAGTATGTTAAAAGCTGTTCCAAGTGTTAATGATGTGTTCAAAGATTTAGAAATTGATTTAAAAATGGACAACTCAATTCATGAGAATGTGGAAAATGGTAAGGATGACTCAAATGATAAAATTAAAACAGAAGATGTAATTAGCGCAAAAGTAGACTCATGTAACTCGCATAAATTAGGTGACGAAATCCAACCAATTTCAAAAACATTGAATTTTTTGAAACAGTTTGAATTTGTTAAAAAACATGAATCAAATAAACCACATGTGGAAAATGATACAAATAATTCTAATGTCATTATTAAAAGCCCCAATGTTAAAAAGGAATCAAACAAAAGTATTTCTAATGAAATTTTTGAAAAACCATCATCTGGTTCTAGCTCACAAATATCTATTTTTGAGAGCACAGACTGTGATATAGATTTAGATATATAATAAAGAGACATGTACAAATATTAAATCATGGTGGTCAATAAAACTAAAGTGTATTGATTTGAATTATTCTTTATTTTTAATTTTTAATAAAACTATTCATTACTGTCTTCATTTGATGAAGCTTTGTAGGGGTCAACTTCATAATTCTCTATTAACAAATTTTTAAATCTTCTCACTGTTATTGCTATATTTTCTTCTTTGGCAACTATATTCAGAACTTCAACACGAGACACATACAAGTGATCTGGATTATGAGGGCTAATACTTTTGATAACATCTATTTCGCTTCCTAATTTTATCTGTAACAATATTTTTCCTATTGCAATAATGTTATATATATATATATATATATATATATATATATATAGCTCATAGAGGAAAATTAATTTTATTAAAAATACTTACAGGACTACTTTTCTTCATTATTTTCTTTCCATTTACTCTGATTTTACTTTCATAAAATACTTGCTCAATTTTGCTGGAATAAATTGTGAACATTAATGGATGTAAATGATTATAACTTATATTAATAATTATGTTTATAACTTATATAAATAATCTTGTGTAAGGCTTTCTAGTTTATTTCTGCTTTTTAGTATTTATGACTAAATAATTTTTTGTAGTTGATTCTTTCGTCTGTAAAAGGTTCAAAAAGGAATTATTATTATTGATATTCTTATCCAATAATAGTCATTGTTTAACTCTGATTTTGATTATGGCCAATTACATTATTGCTAATAATATTGAGCTACATAAAATGGTAAAATACGTATCCCATTGTGGAATAATGAAATAAATATTATACAGGGTTATTTTTCAAAGAGTAGCCAAATTTTAAACTTTTAAATTCAAATATGTAAATAATGATATACCATTATTGCAGTGTTTGAAAATACGATTAAATAAAGCTTCTATTTTTATTTCAAATTATCCCAAATTGAATGTGATTTATGGGCAACAACTACTCTGTGTTATTCAATTTACGTTTTTGCCGACCGATAGACCCTTACGAATGTGCGTGCGTAGTAAGATAGTAGACAATCACTTAAAATAATGCATTACCACACATTTTTAATTTAAAAGATAAAAACAGAATGTTTGAGGTTTTTTGGAATGAAGTTTCTTATCGGAGAGTATGAATTTGGCGGATGGAGGCTAGCAGAGAAAAAGTAAGCTTTTCACAACCGAGACAGAAAGTGTGAGATTGTCACGACACCTTCTGACGTAGTGTAGACGGCCTTAGCGGCTTTAAGGAAGTGAGATGGAATAATGTCCATCTCCCTCGCATTTTTTATCTTGCCATGAAAAGTATTATTTTATTTTAAATGACACTTCATTTAAATAGACGCTAGTAATTCATTTATTTGTATTTGTTAATCAATAATTTAATGTTTATCTATAATTAAATTAATTTTTCTTCACCATTTGGCTAAATTACTTATTCTGAACCTTCTCTGCAAATTTGGCCGTTTATTGCAAAATTACCCTGTATAAAATATACATTAAATTTTAAACTTATTTATATTTATTTAATATCAAATATTTTCCAACTGTGCTTGCAATCATTTCAAGTTTTTATTTTCGTGGACTTTACTCACTTTCTAGAAACTCCTAGAGCTGATTTCAAAATGACATCTGTCCTCAGTGAAGTTGTGTTAAATTTTAAAACCTTTGAATCCCTTGATAGTGAAGCATCATCTTCATACACATCTTGTTCATCATCAGAGTCTAAATCTTTCTGCTATTCTTATAAGTTAAAAAATTGACATTTTATAAGTATTACACACATAATTGCTTAATTTTATGAATTTGTGTTTGTTTAAAAACCTGATTTTCAAAAAGTAAAAAAAACAATTCTTTAGTATTTTGATTTACTTACGAGGTTAAACATTAAAAATATCTTAAATATAATAAAATAAATTATAAATCTTAACTAATTTGTTTAATTATAACATAATTTATAACAACCCCATTATAATGGATTTCTGCAAAGTAACTCCTGATTCTATTAATTATCTTAAATATAATTGTTTTAGCAACTGCCTTCTGGATAGGAACCAGTCATTTCCAAAGCCACATTGTGGTGCTTTTTGTATTTAATAAATAAAAAATACCTAATACTTGTGCACACAGAAATCAGGGTAGGCGGATAGAAAAACCATGGAGAGAAAAGAAATTCATAAGTTTTCTCTAAGGAGTGAATGCAAGTACCTGTTAACACCTGTTACACAGCTCGCCAGTTTGGACCTTCATGTTATCCAGCTAGGTTTCTTGATATAACATAGAATTTGAAGGCGATTTTCTGAGCAAATAGTAGCAGTAGTAAGCAGTAAATGTAGCAAAATGAAGATTAAGTGATAAAATTGCAGCCGCATGATTATCAATGGTTAGTTGTAAGCAAGTACATATATACATAAACACTCACGCCTGTCACCCAGGGCGGTAGGCAGAGACTATGGACTTCCATTTGGCACGATCGTGACACATCTCACTTGCTGCCTCCACATCCATATACCTACGCATACACACTCGACGGTCAAAAGTACTTTTGGCCATTTGGCATTTTCAATATATCACCAATTTGGTTGATAAACTTTCACCTAGGGGGTGTCCCTTCCTAAATCTGCCATTCACCTCAGCAACATAAATTTGCTTTCACACTCTTTCTTCATTCATTCTTTATACATGACCAAACTACCAAAGCATACCTTTCTTAATCCTGGTCACAACATCATCTTGCAAAGCAAGCAAGTATTGAGAGCATTTTTGGAATGGACAGAACAATGAGCTTGATGTCACTATGTAGTGTGTGTTTAAAAATTGGAAGGCAGGATTAAATTGAGCACACAAGTTCTTAGGCATAAAATAATTAAATAAATTGTAATATATAATAAAATAAAAATAAGTAAATAATATGGATAGCTCTTGGTACAACATGGAATGATTGCTTTACCATGACCACGAATGAGAACATTTTCATGACAACTCATAATTTACTAGTTTTCATCGCCCAATTTCATGCTGCCAATTGCTATAACAATTGCATTGAAAACTTAAATTTTTTATAGGTGCCTAATACAATGATTATAATGATTTGCTTATTTGATGTGGTTTCATTTGCAATCAAACGAAACATGATCCCATAGCGGAATTGCAATCCCTAACAATCACCTAGTAAATAAAAAACTTAGAAACGTAAAAATATCTTGCTTTTTAATTTAAAATAGTGTTAATCAGTATTTTTTTTAAAATTTTTAATGGAAAATTGCAAGCATCTCATACCTTTTTCGATTTATTTCTAAAAGTAATATAAGAAATATTTACAGGACAAAGGGCCATCGGTTTTTTAGCATTTTGAATGTTCAAGTTATACAATGCACTGTGTAAAGGCTTCGCTCTTATGTCAAGTTTTACTAAACTATTTCTAAAAATCGCAATCGTCGTCCGTCGCCACACTGAGTTCATTTTTAAATTTTAACCTATGTCTATTTTAGATGATTCAAAACATTCCCTATATATAATGTACTCTGTGATTCAAAAGGTTTGGGAATAACAACCTAACCTAAAACTAGAACAAGACAGTTATTTTTTTTTTGGAGTTTATGGCCTGGTATCTAGACCTTTAGGCCAAGTCTTAAGTATTTTTATTCGGTTTATTGTAATTTCCCCACTCCTTCATAGTATACTGCTTCACAATATGTTGATGCGTCACATTGTGCAGTTCTTGGGAGATTTTGGCGGCAACTTGATCCAGCAGACAGCTGGTAGTTGGCGATGGTATCTAAAGGTGCCTATGCAAACAAACAGCTTATCTTGAGAATCCATCACCATCAGAGCACTTGTTTCACTGTTTCCACTAATAGTTCACATGCGTAGACACTTAATACACAAAATCGCAACACTTTTACATATCAAAGTCCACTTCAAACCATTATTTAAACAATAATACAGGAGCAGCAAACCGCCGCCGGTCAATTTCCCGCCAAAACTCAACAAGACAGTCACAGTCAGTGAGAGTGAGACCAGATTTCATTTGACGAATCTACTGCTTGTGGAGGTTAAAAGCTACTAAATTCTACCAAAACAGAACGAGAAAATACTAAAAATCTATTATATTTTTTTGCTGTCGTGTTACAACGTAAAAACATGAATATTTTCTTGATTAAACGATAAAATAATAAAAATAACAAAGAAACCACCATTAGTTAAAGAAACCAATGTTTTTTTTAAATTATATTAAATTCTATATAAAAATATAATTAATTAAAAAATAATAATAATAAAATGAAACTTAAACTTAAGATTCTTCGCCTTTATGTTGGGTAACATTGGCTTAGCTTTCCATTGACGTCAGTGGAGTTTGTTGTTGATACGTATTTTTACAGAAAGATTACATTATTATAAGCACACACACAAAGTCTCAATATACGGAAACGCGTAATTTTTGAGAAATGAATAATTGAAAATCAATTATTCTTGCATGTTTATGTCTAATCTGCTAATAAACTGGCGCCATTTTGTAACGTCATTGTCGACGTCAATAGGGATGTCGATTCTTTCCGAAAAAGGTCGATTTTTAAATCGATTCAAATCGTAAGCTGATGTATCGGTTCACAAAAAATCGATTTCTAAAATATCTATATTTTTTTAATGTTTCTATTTATAATGTAAATATAAACCCATTTTATGAAAAACAAGAAAGATACCATGATAAATGATCTCTTATTGAAATTTGTTTTATTTAACAGTACCTATTAGGGCAGATAACAAATAAAATAGGTTAGGTTCAACTTATGTCAAAGAACCGAATTGATTGACCCCGATTTCACCTGGTACGAGTCTGTCCTACCCCTAGAGTGGTTTTATAGAGCCGGAGGCGCGTTGGGGGAGCAGCCTCCGCCTGCTGTAACAAATCGTAGGCATCGGACGAGCCGGAGCGGCTGAGGCTGGTCGCCGAAGGCGACCAACAAGCCGAAGCTGCGGAGGCGAGGAGGGATGCCTGCGATTTGTTACGCTAAGGCGTAGAGGTTGCTCTTCCCACAGCGCCGGAGACGTAGCAGTCTCAAAATAGATACAGAAATCCTTATGAATCAGTCCCCTTATTTTTTTATGATGAAGGGGATTTTTTTCTCATAAAATGGATTTATATTTACATTATAAATGCAAACATGAAAAAAATATCGATATTTTAGAAATCGATTTTTTGGGAATCGATACATCAGCTTACAATTCGAATCTATTTAAAAAATCGATCTTTTTCGGAAAGAATCGACATCCCTATTGACGTCGACAATGACATTACAAAATGGCGCCAGTTTATTAGCAGATTAGACATAAACATTGCAAGAATAATTGATTTTCAATTATACTTTTCTCAAAAATTACGCGTTTCCGTATATTGAGGCTTTGTGTGTGTGCTTATAATAGTGTAATCTTTCTGTAAAAATACGTATCAACACCAAACTCCACTGACGTCAATGGAAAGTCGTACCGTAACATTTGTCATAAAGTTGTTTTGAGTCCATTAACTTAATCATACTTCTGTCAGGATCAAATCTGCTACATTCTCCTTCCAACTGTCGTAGCCCCTCTTTTTCATGCATTATTGTAGCAACATTCTTATTGTTACGCGCCACTATTAATGTCTTGTACATGGCAACACTAGTTACACTAGCGCCCCCTAGTGTCGAGTAAATGAAAGTATTGCGCGCCACTATTAATGTCTTGTACATGGCAACACTAGTCACACAAGCGCCCTCTAGTGTCGAGTAGCAAAACTAGGAGAGTCGAGATCCTTCCAGAAATTTCGGGACCGATATGTACTCGAACATTCTAGATGTCGCTACAGTAGAAGGTTCTGGAAACTATCTGAGGCCCTATATAAGGCCGGTATAGACCACGACCGGGGCAGTATTGAATTGGCGATACAAGAGAATACTTCAAAGCGAAATAACGGCGAACTGTGTTTTATTATTAGTGTGATTTTAGATTGTAATTAGTGTTGTGTAATTAAAGTGTCAATTTTGGTAATTCAATCGGCAGTTTTTAATTGTCTCGAACCCCAAGCTCGTAACAATTGGTGTCAGAAGTGGGATCAAATATGCCGATTTTACCTAAAGACGACACGGAGGGTATCCGTACCCGAAGTCAACGCCAACAGGAGACGGACCAGAGACGATTTGGTAATGCAACGCCGCAAACGTCGGAGGGGCAGCTGCTAACCACGGAGGCCGGCCCGTCAGCAGCTCCTGCATCTGCAGCACCTGACTTAGGTGCTCTGATGATGATGCTGCAGGATCAGGCTCGCCGACAGGAGGAACAGGCCCGCCGACAAGAGGAACAGACCCGTCGGTTGGAAGAGCAGCTGCAGCGCGGTATGGAAGAACAGATGCTCCTCAGGGAGGACCTTCACGCTACCTTCGGGAAAGAGATAAAGGAGGTGAAGGATAGGGTTGCTCAACATGACAACCGCCTGTCGGAAGCTGAAACCTGAATCGACCAAGTGAACAATCGGGTTGACAACGTGATGGCTGATGTGAAGAAAACGCTGGACGACCTCAAACTTGGGGATGGAATTACAGTTCTCGTGGTAGCTACAACACCTTCGCTACGTGGATTCAAAGTGCCGCCGTTCGATGGGAGTTCTTCCTGGTCGGCCTACAAAATCCAGTTCGAGGCTGTCATGAAAGCGAACGGCTGGAATAAAAGTCAGGCCATGACTGCTCTCACCCTAGGCCTACGCGACCAGGCCTTAACTGTTCTGGAAGCTCTCGGTAAGGAAGTGACTTACGAGCAGCTCCTTGAGGCATTGGAGGCGAGATATGGCGATGCTCACCTGGAACACGTCTTTCGTGCGCAGCTCAAAGATCGCGTGCAACGCAGTAACGAAAACCTGCAGCAGTGGGCCCTTGAGGTGGAGAAGCTGGTTCGAAAAGCGTACCAGTCTGTACCTGCGCTCATTGTAGGGAACCTGGTGCAGACATTCATCGACGGCATCCGCGACCTTGAAGTCAGAGCTGCTGTGAGGCTCGGGCACCACGAGACGCTTAAGGACGCCTTGACCCATGCACTGGAGGTGGAAGCCGTGCGGCAGGATCATCGTTCCCACCGCGTCAGGGAGGTTGCAGCAGCTACAGTTCAGGACCGCAATAAAGGATACAGCCCTAGGTGCTACGGCTGTGGGGAAAGGGGCCATCTTCGATCCAGGTGCCCTAAACGAACTGTAGAAAGGGAAGGTGATCGATCTCGAGAGGGTAGTGCGGATAATAGCACCGCCCAGCAGCAGCAGGGAAACGAGTAAAAGCCAGGACTGCCGGGCGGGTGCTGGCTGATGTTAAAAGAGCCCCAAGGATTTCGATCTCACAAACCCATGATGGGAACAGCCTAATCATCAAGGGCGAAGTCAACGGAACGCCGTGTAAACTGACCATAGACACTGGAGCCTCTCGCACGGTTGTCAGTTCCCAACTTATAAGTCGGTTCCTTGGTGACTCCGCATACAACCGAGAACGCATTAATTTGGTGACAGCCACTGGTCAGCGCATACCCGTCCGTGGAGAGAAGGAGATGGAGTTGAAGCTAGGCAACATGATCTACCTGCATAATGTCATCGTGGCTGATATAATGGACGACTGCATCCTGGGCCTAGACTTTATGAGGAAGAATTGTTGTGAGATCGACGTTAAGCAAGGTGTTTTGAAATGTGGACAAGAAGAACTTTTCATGGAAGTGGCGTTACCAGGGAATGTGTACAGCCTTAAGAAGATTGTTCTTCCGCCGAGATCGGAAACGATTGTGCCGGTTAGTCTTCCTCGGAGTCCTGGGCAAGCTCATCGTTGTGTACTCGTGGAAAGGGTAGACAATGACCTTCCATGGAAAGTGGCTCGAACCTTGGTCAGAACCACCGATATCTCAGGAGTACGTGTGTTGAACCTTTGTGATCAGGAACAGATTATAGAAAAAGGCACATTGGTTGGTACTAGTGAGGAAGTGGATTGGTTGCGTCGGTGCGAATATCTATCGACCGGGACCCCTAGCAAGGATGGACAAACGAGAGTGACCACACTTTTAGAAGACTGTCGCAGCGTTCTCTCCCCGAATGAAATGGTCAAGGCGAAGAAGTTGTTACTCAAGTACGCCAATGTTTTCTCGTCAAACGAAGCTGACATAGGAAAGACTGGCTTAGTTCAACACAAAATAAACACAGGACAAGAATTGCCTATTCGTCAGCGGCCAAGAAGATTGCCTGTAGCACGTGAAAAGGAAGTGGAAACCATGATTGAGGGAATGGTGAAGGATGGTGTTATTGAACCTTCATCTAGTCCATGGTGTTCACCGGTGGTGCTGGTAAAGAAGAAGGACGGCAGCATGCGGTTTTGTGTTGACTACCGCCGCCTGAACGACGTTACGAAGAAGGACAGCTATCCCTTGCCTAGAATTGATGACACGCTGGATATGCTCACAGG